GTTGAAAAAATCATTGAAGCATGATTTTCAGTGCTGAGCACAAAATCGCAGTAAATTTAAATTTTTAATATTATAATCAAATTTTAAATAAAATATTTTCTTGTTAAATAACGAGATAAAATTTGAGATGTTAAATTATTTTCTATATCAACGGCGAAATACAGCGATTGAAAAATTGGATTTTTTGTTGGTAGAAACGATGTGCGCAGGAAAGAAGTACTTTATTGCATCGTCTTACAATTAATTATACAATAATGCAAAATGAGTTAAAATTGATAACACAATGAATTTACACATGTTATAAATTTATATTTGCAGTACTACCTGCAAACACGAAAAACAAATTGAGATAATAATTTGTGTTTATATTAAGTTCTTAATAGTTGCAATGCTCAAAAAACAAGAACAATTTGATAATATAAATTAAAATTTGGCAAAGTAAAAGAAATGTTATTCTTTGCAAGATATAAATGTTATACTTTGTAAGATTAAAATTTTTAAAAAAGTAACGTGATTTGCAAGAAGACGAATTTTTATGATATGCTTAATATATGTATGTATGTATCTATGTATGTATATATGTATGTATCTGTCACGTTTAGCGCAAATTGTAAATTTTTAAATCTAAATAATTACAAATAAAATTTTTTACATATCTATGAACTGAGTAGATTCATTGTGAGAAATAATTTATACTTTACAATATCAATGATTGCCAATTACAGAAAGGATAAAAATAACAATGTACTAATATATTAAAGAAAATAATAATATAAAGAAAATATTTCAACCACACATCTACAATGTAAAAACAATATGTTTAAACAAAATTGCAACGATTGTTTTACAAAAAACTATTCTCGATTTAAGTTTTATTTGCGATCTATGCCGTATAAATTGCTACAAAATAATGTTTTCGAGTTCTTCACAAAAGTAATTTGGAATCCTTTTTTAATAGAAAATCAACTTTGAAATACACAGTATATCTATTATATATATGTTTTCACGTTTGTGTATTTTTAAAAGTTCGAAAAAATATTTAATAAGTATACACTGTGCATATTAAAACATTTATAATCAATTTTTTTATTTTTTTAGTATATAAATTTGTATCAAAAATATACAACAGCAAAAATTTATTTATGAACCACCTTGTATAGTGTTAACTTTCGGAAATTAAGAAATAGAGGTCGCGAGATGTACCGTAATATATATAAATATACACGGTCGGCCTCTTGCGCGTTTCGCGTGACGCGTGAACTTGGCGCGAGCCACGACGTGTCTCTTGATGTATATGTATATATATGAGTGTGTGTATGTATGTATGTTTATATATTATACACATGTACTCTATAAGCCTCCTCTACACTTTCGATTATATTCAAACATACCAAATCACCTTTTACTTCGATAACATCTCAGTATCAGAGTGAACGTTACAACGGAAACAGCGCACATGAAAGAGATTAGCAAATCTCTTTCACAAATATTAATCACAAATAAATCAGGTAAAAATTTACATTTATAACAGGTATAATCTAAGAAAGTATATATAATCTCTTCAAAATCTTTACGACACTTAAGAATCTTCGAGTTTGAATAATATCCAGAACAATTTGAAATTATTGTCATATCTTTAAACTGGTTCGATATACATATATATGTATGTCTCGAGCTTATCGTTACAATTGTCGTGATTGCCAAATTCAATTTTGATATCGACAGACTTTAATTTTGCACAACCAATTTTATATTAGTTATTTTGCAGAGATAAAAAGTTACATTAATTTAATCCACAATACTCTGATTTTTATCGTATTATTTTTAACTTACATTTATGATTTAAAAAAAAGCAAATTAAATTAATATAATAATGTGATAAACATTTGTTTTTTTTTTGTTTAAGACGTGCATTTTAAAAAACATCTTGCAAAATGTTCACTCGTTACGAAATATATTACACGATTTTATTTGTCGTGGGTAGTATATTCGCTGCTAATTGTCCAAATAATGAGACATGCAAATGTACATCAAATGAACTGGTCGAAATAAATTGTAAAATAAACAATTCTTCTATTAAAATTCAAATTAAACCAGGCCAATTTATGAAAGTATGTATATATGTCTTTTTAAGTCACAGGTGTTTTGTATTTTTACATGTATATACTTGCAAAATTTGTGCGCTTCTTAATACATACAGTCAATACTATTTCTAAAATCTAAATTTACATAAAATTTAATAAATGATAAATTTAAATATAAGATAAACAAATTTGTTAAATCAAAAAACATATTACTATTCAAATATCAAAGAATGGTGATTTTAAATATTTTGTTACATTTGTTTTAAAATAAATAATGTGAAAGGCTCAGATAATTAACAAAAACTAAAAATCAAAAGGATCGTAAAGAACCATATTGCATATTCTTCGTGCGATGGTTATTATATTCTGATTTTAAATTATTTTCAAACGTTTCTGCCTGACATCAGGCCTTTTTCAGTGTACAACATTGACGAAAGAATCGCACGCAATAATTATAAAAATACAAAGAAGTGGATTATATATTTTGAATCCATTTTGCAGAAATATTGTTCGGATGATTAAAATGTATTGTTAAAATTGTGATACAGACATGTTACAAACAAAATCGTCTATTTAGAATAAACAAGATGAAAGAGTAAATAACTATTGAAACTTATCAGTCAAAAGTTAAAATGTTAATTTAATTTTATTTATATTTTGTTAATGTTTTATTAACATTTTAACTTTTGACTGATAAGTTTTAATAGTTATTCACTCTTTTACTTTGTTTCTTCTGAATAGACGGTTTTGCTTGTAATATGTCTGTATCTCACAATTTTAACAGTACATTTTAATCATTCAAACAATATTTCTGCGAAATAAATTCGAAATATATCATTTACTTTTTTGTATTTTTATAATTACTGCGTGCGATTCTTTCGTCAATATTTTACACTGTGAAAGACCTGATGTTAGGTAGAACGTTTGTAAACAATTTCAAATGTGAATACAGTCACCTTTGCACGAAGAACTTAAATAGTGGCTCTTTACGCTTCTTTTAATTTTCGTTTTATATTTAATAAAATTTATTATTTACTTCAAATTTTTATTTTTATAAAAGCGTAAACTTAAAATATATACAGCAGCAATAAAAAAAAGTGTTGTTAGAATATTCCATTTCTGTTTGAGAATTTTTTTACACTCACTTCGTGAAGCTCGTTAAGTTAATAAATTTGTTAAAGAAAATAAAATCTTTTAAAATTATTTTGTTAATTTTTTGCGACTAAAAAATTTGTAATCTAAGATTATTTAAATCTTGATAAAAATTAAATATATTAAGATTAGGATTTAATAAATTGTAATTGAAGATTAATTAAATCAAGTTAATTTTATCTCATACAGGTTTACTGCTCTAACTTCAAGTGGTCAGACCTACATACGTACAATTTTACAAAATACGAAACAAACTGGGTGTATTTTTTTACGTGCAATTTACCAAAAAACAACAGTTTAAAAACGATTACAGATATGTTAGGAACTACTGATGTGGAATATTTACATTTTCATTCCAAAAAATCTTTGTCCTTCAAAAAACTGCATTTGAAGGGCTTCGAAAATTTATATTTATTGGATTTATCGTATAACTACATAGTTATGATGGACAAATATCTGCTGGAGGATCTAACTAATCTAAAGACACTAATTATGCGCGACAGTAATTTACAAACAACCTTTCCTTTTTATTATCCTCCCCAATTGCGTGAGATAGGCTTAGGAGAGAATAAATTAATATCGATAACACCAGGCTCATTCGACAAATGTCGTAATTTAACATTCCTTTCTTTAGAAAAAAATAACTTAACTGAGCTTGAATCGGGAATCTTTGACAAACTCATCAATCTTGAGTCTTTGTACCTTACCTCGAATAACTTGGTCAGCTTGCCGGAAGACATATTTGCGAAGCTAAAAAATCTCGAAACACTTAGTTTAACTAAAAACAGTTTTACATTTTTGCCAAGATACCTGCTACAAAACAATACAAATCTGCAAATTTTTGACTTATCTTTCAATGAGAAAAAATTGATCGACTTACCAAATAAATATTTTCAAACTTTAACAAAATTGAAGATATTGAACCTGGAAAAAAATGGATTTACTCGTTTGCCGGAAGATCTTTTGTGGGGATGTTTCTCACTGACTACTCTCAGTCTAAGTGGAAATGATCTTGGTTTTTTACCCAAACTCATATTCCGGGATTTAAAAAGGCTGAGAAAATTGAAATTAGACTCCAATGCACTTGAAGAACTACATAATTATATATTTTCGGATCTCAGAAAATTAAGAAAATTAGATTTATCAAAAAATCGTCTTCGTTCCATTAACAAGTACGTTTCTATTACTTTAATTAATATATCAACATCATTAATGTTTAAATTTCTTACATTTTTGTTAATAGAAAAATTGTTTTAATTTTTCAGTCAGCTTTTCCAAAATTTAATCAAGTTGGAAAAATTGAACATGGCAGATAATTCCTTATCAGTTATTTCTGATAAAAGTTTCAATTTTTTAAGCAGATTAAGGATTGCTAATTTTTCAAACAACTCTCTAACGTTACACCCCACTACAAGTATTCATATTGATGAACAAGGAATACGTTCACCTTTTACTTATTGTCACTTATTAAGAATATTAATTTTAAGCCATAATAATATTTCGGAAATATTTGACGACTGGATTTTGAATCCTTTCCTTCAAATACTGGATCTCAAAAATAACTATATATCCAATTTATCTGTAAGTATATTTAAAAACATTGATAAAAATAACAAATGTGTCATTATTCGAAATGCTTATTCATGATGTCGATAATATTTAATCCTTTTTGTTTATTTTAGACCCACGATTTACAGTTTGCATCGAAAAGTATTGACGTGGATTTGACTTATAATAAAATACGATACATCAATTTAAAAAATGTCGAAGACTTCGTCAATAACAATTGGTTATATGGAAGAATAGTGATATGGATTGAACATAATCCTTTGCATTGCGATTGTGGATTGTATGACTTTCTGCGCTATATTGAAAACAAAATGCTTCCTAACGTCACAAGAAATATTAATATATATTCAGAAAATTTAATTTGTTCTACTCCATTCCAATTGAAAGACGTGCGTGTTATAAATTTGCAATCTGAGTCATGTGTAGCAAACAATACAGATATTATGATGTGCCCCGATAAGTGCAACTGCTTTGTGAAGCAGGAGGAAAAAACGTTCATGATTGATTGCTTTCGCAAAAATTTGACTTTTGTGCCAAGCTTCATGATAAAGCCGCCCGATTCCTGGCAAGTCGAACTCAATCTCTCCAATAACCATATAACACAAATGCCAAATTTGACAAACTTGAGTTATAGAATAGTGAGCAAACTTGTCTTATCTCACAATAACATTTCCGAGATTTCCTTGGATGGATTGTCGAAAACATTAAAGGTACTTAAATTTATTGTATTTTATGTAGAAGACACAATTTTGAAAAAAATATTTTGTAAAACGTAAAAACAAATTAAATCTGATTTTTTATCTATTTTATCGCGTAGGGTAATAGCGTAATAAAAAAATAATAAGCTGCATTTTATGACAAAATTTTAAAATCAAACTTTGTTTCAGGCATTGGAGATACATAATAATAATATAACAAGAATATCTTCCGATGTGTTAAATTTCTTGAGAAACGCTACGAATTTAACTTTATTGACGTTAGGTGGAAATCCATTGATATGCGACTGCAATATTACAGATTTCTTAGATTTCATTATCACAAAATCCAAAATTATAGCTGATCTGCATAATGTGACGTGTTATGGCAAGAATAAACTTGTATCAAACATGATGAAAATGAAATCGACCGATTTTTGTCCGATTGTTCATTGTGTGAAGAATAATGAAGAACAATCGTATACAGAGTACATTTACTCGTTTATTTCTACTTTTAAGAGATTTATCGCTGACATGTTCTATTATATGTATTAACTGCATCTTAAAAAATGGCTATTTACACATGGGTCCATTAATAGACGCTGATGAAGAAAATGAATCAGACAACGAGAAATTATACGATGCGTTTATAAGCTACTCGCAGGATTATCATGATTTCGTGATGAATGTGTTAGTACGCGCACTGGAGAACGGCTCGACGTCATTCAAGCTGTGCCTTCCTTATAGAGACTGGTTAACAAGCGAATGGACAATGGTAAACATTGTAAAATCTCTACAATTGTCCCAACGAATGATAATGGTGCTGTCGCCAAGCTTTTTGGAGAACATCTGGAGAAAGACAGAATTTTGTGTTGCGTTTAGTCAAGCGTTTGATAAGAAGCAATCAGACATGATATTAATCCCGTACGGTAATATAGAACCCACTGACGAGAGCTTAGATTCAGAACTGAAGACGTACATATATTCGAACACTTACATCAGATAGAGAGATGCTTGGTTCTGGAATGAGTTGAAAAATCATTGAAGCATGATTTTCAGCTGAGCACAAATCGCAGTAAATTTAAATTTTAATATTATAATCAGATTTCAAATAAAAAATTTTCAAGTTAAATAACGAGATAAAATTGGAGATATTGATCTATTTTTTATATCAACGACAAAATACAGCGGTAGAAAAATTGGATTTTTTGTTAATAGAAGCGATGTGCGCGAGAAAAAAGTACATTATTGCATTGTTTTACAATTAATTATACAATAATGCAAAATGAGTTAAAATTGATAATTCAATGAATACAAACATGTTATAAATTTATATTTGCAATACTACCTGCAGACACGAAAAACAAATTGAAGTATTAATTTGTGTTTATATTAAGTTCTTAATAGTTACAATGCTTAAGAAACAAAAACAATTTGATAATATAAATTAAATCTTAGCAAAGTAATGGAAATGTTATACTTTGTAAGATATTAATATTTTTAAAGACGTAACGTGTTTTATAAGAAGACGAATTTTTGTAATAATCTTAAAATATGTATATGTCATGTTTAACGCAATTTGTAAGTTTTCAAATCTAAATAATTACAAATAAAATTTTTTTCATATATATGAACTGAGTAGATTCATTGAGATTAAGAATTTATATTATAATTTAAATTACAATATCGATTATTGCCAATTGCAGAAAAGATAAAAATGACAATGTAATATGAATATAAATAAAATAATATTATAAAGAAAATATTTCAACCACACATCTACAATATGTAAAAACAATATGTTTAATCAAAATTGCAACGATTGTTTTATAAAAAACTATTCTCGATTCAAGTTTTATTTGCGATCTATGCCGTATAAATTGCTACAAAATAATGTTTTCGAGTACTTCACAAAAGTAATTTTGAATCCTTTTTTAATAAAAAATCAACTTTGATATATACAGTATATCTATTAAATATATATTTTCACGTTTGTGAATTTTTAATAGTTCGAAAAAATATTTAATAAGTATACACTGAGAGCATATTATAACATTTGTAATTAATTTTTTAATTTTTTTAGTATATTAATTTGTATCAAAAATATATATATATATATATTTTTTCGGGTTAGAACGTTTTTCGCCGTGTCCGGTTCCTAATTGCCATTCTCGTCTGCTGTTCCATTGTTCCTCTTTTAAATTCTTTTCGCTTATAGACTTCCGTATCCCTGCCTTCCATGTTGTTTTTGGCCTTCCTCTCTTCCGTTTTCCTGGAGGTATCCATTCTATTACTTGCTTAGGGAGTTTATTTTTATCCATTCTTTGTACATGTCCGTACCAGACCAATTGTTTTCTCTCAATATCATCCATTATTGAGCCTTCTATTCTCATTCGTTGTTTAATTTCCTCATTTCTGATTTTATTTTTTCGTGAAATCCTCAAAGATCGTCGTATGGCATCTATTTCTGTTGCTTCCAACCTTCTCTTGTTTCCCTTCGTTAGTCTCCATGTTTCGCATCCATACAGCAATACACTTTTTACCATTGTTTCATAGATGTTAAATTTCCTCTTTTTCGTTATGTTTTTATTCCACAAGATCCCATTCATACATGCAATAATCCTTCTCGATTGTGTTATTCTACTGCCTATTTCTTGATCATCCGTTCCTTCTCGGTTAAATGTTGTTCCCAAGTATTTATACTCCTTGCAAGTGCTGATTTCTTTGTTCCCATCTATTACAAGATTCTCTGCATCCGATCCCATGCAAAGGAACTTTGTTTTTTGAGTATTTACCGTTAGTCCCCACTTTTCATACTCCTCCATCAATTTTTTTACCATGTATTCCATATCGTCTCTATCGTTTGATATTACCGCTTGATCGTCCGCAAATTGGAGCGTGTATAGGCATTGGTCATCTAGTTCTATCTTCATTCTATGACATTTCCGTTTTTATTGGTGTAAGGCCTTGAATATATAGATCTTAAAGAGCGTTGGTGATATACAGCAGCTCTGGCGTAGTCCTTTTGATACTGGGAATTCCACTGATAAGCTGTTGTTCTGTTTTATTCTCGATCTTGAGTTCTCGTATAGGTTTTTTAAGGCTTTTACTAGGGTATAGTTAATATTTGATTCTTGAAGGGCTTCCCATAACTTTGTTGTTGGTACAGTATCATATGCTTTTTGGAGATCTATAAATGTTATATGTACCTCTTGATTCCTTGCCATCTTTTCTCATTTACTGTTTTAGGCAGAATATATTGTCTGTACATGATCTTCCAGCTCTGAACCCGTTCTGTTCTTCCTCCTCAAGATTGCTATACTCCCTCTCAATCAGGTCCCTCAGAATTCTTCCGTACTACCGACTCATTGTGCTTGTTACTGAGATCCCTTGATAGTTGTTAGGGTCCCTCTTGAATTATTTTTTGTGTATGGATGAGATGTATGCAATTTTCCACTTATCCGGCACTGGATGACCGTTTAGACACTGATTAAAGATGTTGTTTAACATTTGATATAGCTTTTCAGTACCACATTTCAGGAGTTCTGCATATACCTCTTCCGATCCACATGCTCTTCCGTTCTTGAGAGATATTACTGCTTTTCTAACGTCTTTTGTTTCAATGTTGACTTCTTCTCCTTTTATTTGAATGTGTGTTTGTGCATTTATTTTATATTTAGGTCTTTTCTCCGTCAGCAAGGCTCTTGTAGTGGTTTATCCATTCTTTATGTGATATTATCGGGGTTGGCACTGTTTCGCGTTTTTCCATTGTTGTATTTTTAATGAATTTTTACACTTCTGTGCTTCTTCTTCCTCCAATATATGTATTTATCTCTGTGCACTTTTTATCCCACAGCTTGTTTTTTTCGGCATTTACGGTTCTCCTGACTTCGTTTTTTTTCCCTATATAGAATTGCTTGTCTTCTTCTGATTTTGAGTTTAACCCTTTAAGGTATAATGTCCTTTTTTCTTTTACCAGTTGATCAATTTCATCAGTCCACCACATTTTGCTGCTCTTTCTTTTTTCTTGGCTTCCCAATGCTTCCTCTGTTGCTCTATGAATGCTCTCCAATATGTTCTTATATATGTCCTCAAATTCCTCCAGTTCCTCCATTAATTTCTCGTTCAGTCTCTTCTGATATAAATATTTTACACTGTCGTGTATTAAGCTTTCAAGGTTGTATTTTACCTTCTTAATTTTCTCTGTATTTTGTTCATATCTTTCTTTAGCACTTTGGGTTTTGTGTCTGTAGGGCAGGAAGATTTTAGATCTAAGTAGTGGTCCGAATGGTTTCTTGTTCCTCTGAGCACTCTTACATCATTTATCTTGATGTTACTGCTTTGTCTGGTAATAATATAATCGATTATTGATTTTAGATTTCGACTTGGTTGTACCCACGAATACTTGTGGATTTGTTTATGTTTAAAGAATTTATTTTTTATCGTTAGGTAGTTATATTTACAGATGTCGATTAACCGGGTACCGTTATCGTAAATGCCAAAAATATACAACAGCAAAAATTTGTTTATGAACCACCTTGTATAGTGTTAATTTTCGGAAATTAGGAAAAAAAGGTCACGAGACGTACCGTAATATATATGTATATGTATATATATGAGTGTGTGTATGTATGTATGTTTATATATTATACCCATGTAGGGGAAGGTGGGGTAAGACGGACCCCCTAAGCAAAAATGGCTATATTTTTTATATTAATGACAAAAAGTAACTGAAATTTAGCATGAAAAAACTGTAGAATGTTTATTATAAGATTATAATGTTAAATTTTCAAAATTTGCAAAAGTTTGAATTATTATTAAGATTTTTAAAAACTTAATTTTGGTCTGTTTTACCCCATAGGTGGGGTAAAATGAACCATCCCATGGGGTAAAATGGACCAAGCCGAGATAATATGGATCAAGAAATAATTTAAC